CCTAATTTAGCAAATGGATAAAGATATTCAGATGTATGAGGCCTACAGTACTCCAGCCACCTACCATCCAAACAGAACAACACCCAGGCATATAATAATCAAAATTCCAGAAATCCAATATAGGAGCAGCATATTAAAAGCCATCAGAGAGAAGAAACATATCATTTACAAGGGAACACCCATCAGGATTACAACATATTTCTCAGCAGAAACCATCAAATCACGAAGAGGATGGGGGGAAATAATTCAAGCTTTGAAAGAGAACTTCCAGCGAAGATTGATATATCCTGCACAACTGTCCCTAGAAATTGATGGAAATACAAGGTGCTTCCAGGATAAAGAGGAACTGGGGGAATTTGCAACCACCATTTCAACTTTACAGAGAATAGTGCAGGACATTCGAAAAAAAGAAAAATACCAAGATTTCAGAAACAGTGGCAGGGAGGCCACAATGAATGGAGCAGAAAGCAAAATAAAGAAGATAAACTGACAACTAATGACAGAAGAAGAGCTCAACAGAAATGAGGCAGAGAAGGTTGCATGGTAGGAACAGCTATTTTGGAGAAAACAAGATATCATAATAGCTAGTGCTGATTTAATATCATCTTGTTTTGAAGTCCCATCAAGCTTTTGTTCTTCAGTCTCCATCAATCTTAACAGGTTGTATCTTATTGGATTTTGTTATACATGATAATATAAACAAAAAACTTTTATAGACAAGGAGATTATACAGAAACCATTGTTTATTTTCTGATAGTTGATTCTAAATACCCTGTAATATTGTTATTCTCTTGAATGGTTTTACACTGTCATGATATGTTTGATGCTATAGTACAGGAAGTTATACCAAAAGATTTCAAGGAAAGAGACACTATGGTAACTACTTTTATGTCAGGATATCTTGTGGTGAAACACTATTTTGCTTAAATGGTTATGTTTTGACCTGTACTGTTTTGTTGTTATGTCCTTTTATCTCAATCTCCTTTTTTTATTATTTACTTTTTTATTTGTATCTTTTTAATTTGGGAAAAATAAAAAAAATCACAGGATATGTTATAGTAACCAACATTGATTTTCTATTAACTTGATTTGAAGCCCTGTATTGCTATCACCATCTTGTTTTGACTTATTTTCCTCTATTCTGTTTTGCCTGATAGTACCAAGTTTGAGAGTATAGGCAACAACTGTGAAGACATAAGATTCATTCTGGTTTAACTATTATCTTCTTTTGAAGTCCTGTAATGTCTCCAATGCTTTGGTTTTATTGGTTTTGTTCTGTACTTTTTTGTTCAATTTGATTATAACTGATGATATAGGCAATTCTTGTTAAGATAGCAAGAGGCATTATGGTAACCACTGTTGATCACCTTGGTTTTTGTTTTTACAGTATGTAATATGTCCATCCTTTTGATTTGACTCACTCTGTTTTGTTATGTCACATTTGGTTTTATTCTCTTCAAAAAAAGTAATAAGACTTGTACGAGGAATAAAATCCAAAATGTGTAATTGTCATTGTACAAAATAGAGGAAAATAAAGTGCTCTAAATGATATAACTGCATGTACATTTAAGTGTATAAAATAGATAACCATATTACTGAGTTTTGTTGGATCATTGAACAGAACTGTTTGCAATCTCACTGTTTGAATGTCCACTTTAATGCTTTAATTTTGTAAGTTGAACTACTATTTCTAAGATGACAATATGTAATCTATTAACTAGTTATTTCCTATTGTTTGTTTTTTCTGAAATTCTGTATAACCTGCACCCTTTTTCTGTTTTGTTTTCTTTTTCTCGTTAAATAAAATTTAAAAAAGAAAGGCAAGGGGCTGGGGATTTAGCTCAGCGGCATAAGCGCCTGCCTTGAAAGCAGGCAGTCGTGAGTTCGATCCCTGGTACCGATAAAAACGAAAAAGACAAAAAAAAAAAAAAAAAAGAAAGGCAAACAGGCCTTTGAAGTTGCAATTACAGTGCCAGACAGGTGTTAATACCTTGCAGGGCTGTGACAAGGTTCTCCAGAAGGCTGTATATGCTTTAAATGGGCATTCACTTGATTGTATATCTCCTCCCACAGCTATTCATGGTTACAGGAATCTAGGGATGGAACGGGCAGTGATACCATTCCTCATCCTCCTAAGGATCTTCACAAAAAGATTTTGTTTCCTGTTCCTATAACCTTATGCCCTTCTGGGTTGAAGTCTTAGTTCCACAGGGGGAAAGCTTGTACCAAGAATCAGAACAAGGATTCCATTGAATTAAGCTTCCCTCTGGTCATTTTGGGCTCCTCATTCCTCTGGGTAAACAAGCTAAAATCGTGGTTATAGTCCTCGTGGGGTGACTGATGCAGACCATCAATGAGACAATGGATGCCTACCCTACAATGGAAGAAAGAAAAAATATATGTGTAGTAAAGAAAGCCCTAGGGCACCTACCAGTATTACCATGTCCTCCTATTAAGATGAGAAATAACAAAAACCCTATCTGGCAGTATGACAAATTCCCCAGAACCTTCAGGGGTGAGGTATGTGTCTGTGCTAAGTAAAGAATTAAGATTCATTGACCCACTTTCTGAAGATCATGGTAATAAACAAGGGGTAGTAAAAGATGGTAGTTATAAATACTAGCTACACCCACATGACAAGAACACAGAGGAGGACTGTAATTTTCTTTCCTGTTTTGTTTATATTTGTGCACATATACACATATAGTGATCAGGTATGTTTGTCTTCTTTCTTCATACCATGACATTGGTAGACTTAATATCTGCTCCTGAATATCACTAAAACTGTAAGTTTGCATTATGAAATGTTAGGAAAAGAGTAATCAGTTACCTAAAGACAAACTTTGCCTTCTATTCTGAGGATGAAATTGACATGTTTCTAGCTGTGCACAGGAGAGTTGTACCATATCAGACACAAGTGTAAGTTTCCTATTTGTGTTTGGAAACTAAGGATCATTCAAGGAGCTGCATCTTCTTGACAAGGGATGGATCATGACTATTAGGTGCCAAATAGAGAGATGGATGAGAAGCGCTTAAGAGATCATTGAAACACAGTTCTGGGATGACAGGACAGGTCCATTCTAGTTATGGGTGGTGCCGACCACTAGGCGCCAGGGCTTTGAACCCTGGATACAATAAAAAGGGAAGAAAGGGATCCCTCCCTTTCACATCTTCAGAAAACCTCTGCTGTTTGCCATTGCCTGAGGACTTTTCTTCACCCATTCCTTCATGCTTTCAGCATGGACTCTTTGCCTTTCCCCTGCAGACTCCTTGATATTTTGATGTGGACTCACACTGGACTTTGCAGTGAGCTCTTGGTCCTTTATTTCACCTGGAATGCCCCACAACCAGCCCACAGTCAGTTTGCGTGCTTCTCCCTCTGAGTAAGTGGCCACTGTAAGTCCCCAACTTTGTATGAATCTGTTCTCCTACTGAACCTGACTCACACAGATCAGTAAAAAGGACGAGGATTCTGTCTCTACTGTAGACAGTGTCTATTTGAGATGTTTCATATCACTAGAATCCCAGTGCTCGTGGCATTCAGTGTTTGGCTTCCTTTATTCAGCCAAATGTTTCCAAGGTGTTTTACCTTGTGTATATGTATTCCCCCAGGCCTCATGCAGGTACTAAGTGGGGCTTTTCAGAGATGTCTGGATCTACAGAGTGTGCTGCTAGGGTTAAAGGTATGTGATTCCTAAATTAGCTCAGTGATTGCTATGGTACAGTTTCAGGTGTGCATAATGTGAAGGCCAAGTGTGACAGGAGGGCTCCTGCCCTAGGGCATGGAGACTGGATGCAATGTAAGGCCCAGTCGAGGGCTGCTGTGTTGCTGGCTGCTTCTTGGACTTCGCTGTTTGTGGCCTTCTGTTTGCCAGGAACTCTTTCTCCTATGTGATGCCCCTCTGCCAGGCACCCTGCCTGGGAGCCAGATAACTATGGACTGAAACCTGCCAAACTGTGAGCCTTGATAAACCTTTTGTCCTTGAATTTGGGATGTCTGATATTTTGTCTGAAAAATGAGAAAATTAACTAAGACACATGCTTTATCCACCTATGATTTTTTAATAATAACCTATGTCTTTTCATTTTCAAAATATCCCACTCAGAAATACTCAGATATAATGAAAGCCCACACTTTGGACTGGATAATTCTGTTTATTTTCTGCAGTACTGGCTTGAAAAGAGAATACATTTACCATACAATTTAATTTGATATTTTTCATCACATATGCACAACTGGGCAACAATCACCATACCCAATTTTAGGAATTCATTAACCAACCCGCTGAATTCTGTACCCTTCGTTGTCACCACAGCATTCAAATTCCCTCTCCCAACACCAGGAAACCACTGTTGTATGTTCTGCCCCCTGGATTCACCTATTCCGAGACACTATATGGCCCTGGAATCTTACACCACGTAGCATCGTTTCCAGCTTCCTTCCCTCAGCATGACATTTCTGAGGTTCATGCATGTTGTAGCACGCCCTAGTCCCTCATATCTTTTTGCCAAATACCAATTCACTATGAATAATTCACATTTGTTTGTTCTCCATAAGCTCAAATTCTTTTAAATGGTTTCCAGCTTTTGGCTTACAGGTTATGTTTCTCTGAACATTCCTGTGTATTTTTATATGCACACTTCTCTTCAGTAACTGAGAGTATGTTAGAGCTAGGTCTAATCTGCTGAGAAATTGCCTGGCCACTATCCAGGCCATAGGATTGCAGAAGGATTGAGGATTTTCCACATCTCTGCCAGATGTTTGTCTTGTAGTAATCATTATTACCACTGTCACTAGGAACTCTGCTTTCCATAATATTTTTGCATGTGCAAATGTTCATAGGTATCAAGTGAGCAACCAGAGAGCCCACAGACATCCACTCTTGTGGTTCAGCATCCTTGGCATCTTGTTCTAGAAACCCCACCCACTTCTCAGTTCTTCAGCACACAGTAACCAGGACCTGCATCCTGGGACTGTGCAGCTGACTTCATAGATTGGTTCAAGGGCGCTGTGCTAAGAACATGGGAGTACACATATTTCTGGGAGCAACTGCAGCACACTGAGTCTGGCGAGCTATCTGTAACTTGGTCGGGGCATTCTGCTCAGGTTTCAGCAGGATGAGGTAGCACTTGGGGAGGAAGATGCCACCCAGCAGCCCTGCAGTAGAGGCCAGGATGGAGAAGACCTCCACAGCTACTGTAGCCTTGCCCCGTGCACTGTGGTACAGGGGCAGGAAAGCTGTCCAGACACTGCAAAACAGCAGCATGCTGAAAGTGAGGAACTTGGCCTCATTGAAGGCATCTGGCAGGTCCCGGGCCAGGAAGGCCACAGAGAAGGTTCCTATAGCCAGGAGGCCCAGGTAGCCCAGCATGCAAGAGAAAGCCACGCCAGAGCCCTCCTGACACTGGAGCACAAGGTGGCCAGGCTCTGAGGCTGTGTCTCTGTGTGGGAATGGTGGGGAGGTGCCTAGCCAGACCCCACAGAGAATGATCTGCATCAGGGAGGAGACCAGGACCACAGAGGAAGAGGCACTGTTCCCTAGGCACATGCGGACTCTCTGTCCTGGCCTAGTGGCCCTAAAGGCCAGGACCACAGTGAGGGTCTTGGCAAGGACACAGGACACAGCCACAGTGAACACCACTGCAAAGGTGGTCTGGCGCAGGAGGCAAGTGGTGGGTGAGGGACGGCCAAGGAATAGCAAGGGACTCAGGGCACAGAGGGTCAGGGAGACCAGGAGCACATAGCTGAGGGCTCTGTTATTGGCCCTGACCACAGGTGTGTGCCGGAACCACAGGAACACCCCGAAGACTAGGCATGCCAAGCTGGCCAGTGCCAGTGACACTGAGGTCAGTGCAAGGCCCAGGGGCTCATCAAAGGCCAGGAAGTTCTCTGTTCTGGGAATACAGTGGTCTCTGGTCTGGCTTGGGTACTGCTCCTCAGGGCACTCAAGGCAGCTCTTCATGTCTGTGGGAGGCACAAAACCACACCCAAGGCACACTGGGGTTATGAAACCAGCTTTTGGCCATTCGCTGGGCATCAGGCCCTTTAAGCAACGCATGCTTCCACTGCTGCTTTTATGAATTATTCTTAGGCATCCTTGAAGGAGGCAACATTAGATTCAGAGGGACTAGGAAAACTGCAGCAGAACATATTTATTTTTTGTGCATTGGGCTGTTTTGGTTTTGGTTCTATTGTATTATTCTCCCAAATGGGGGAGTCAACCTTTGCCTGAACAACATTCTTAGATTGTTTTGATGCTCAGCTTTACTGACTCACTGAGTGGACCAAACTGGGCTTAAACATGCTATCTTCCTCCCTCATCCTCCCATAATGCTAGGATCACTGGCTCGTACCACAAGACTACAGACCTCCATTGTGTTTATTTCAATGGCTAACTTTTCCTGAGCAGCACCTGTGACTTCTATTTTTGCCAAATGTTTTAGATCTTATTGGTTCCCTCAAAACTCATTTGTTGAAGTCTTGATCTCCAGTAGCTCAGAATGTGATTGTGTTTTATAGGTAAATTACATCTGAGACAATTATGATTCACTGAGACCCCTGAGGTGGCCTGAATGCAGCAAGCTGGCATCCTCACAGGAAGAGGGTTCTTTGACCCAGGTAAGACACAGGAGGACACAGCAGGAAAGGGTTGCCTGCAGGTCCAGGACAGGGGTCTGACAAAACTCCCTGCTTTACACACCAGGACCTCAACTTCTAGAAGTGTGAGGAAATGCATTTCTGTGGTTTATATGGGATTCATGACACCTGGTCTCTGGGATGGAGGTCACAGTCTCAGGTAGAGGAGAAAAGGAGCTTCACCAGGGCCTGGATGAGGCCTCCCAAGCTCAGGAGATGAAACAAGGCTAGAGGTCAGGTCAGTGGTAATCTAGGCAGGACCAAGTCACACTGCTTATGGTCAGGCAGAGAGAAGAGTGTGCTCATGAATATTCTGTGTGGCCACCATCTGCACCCTGCCTGCCCATGGGGTCTAGTTCAGGACATATTTCTCCAAGAATAAACAAGAAGGCTCCTTCCAGGACATGGGTCCAAGTAATGTTGGGAAAGAACGGAGACTGACCAGTGCCTCCTGGGGACAGGGAATTTAGGGGAGCACGACCTCTCAGCTCCCTTACTCTGCAGCCCACTCACCTCTCTGGTCTGCAAACTGTCCCTCTGGGCAGGGATGGCACTCAAAGCAGCAGTGGGGGACACCCTCTCGGGGGATCTGGCTGAATCCTGGTTCACAGCTGGTGCTGCAGACAGAGCTGGGCACCTGAGGACAATGTGCAGGGGGTCAGCAGGCTCCAGTAGGATTGGGCCACAGGGCTGGTCTGACCACCAGCCGCAGAGTGGTGTCCTCCCCAGATGACTAGGTGGAGTGCCGGGAACTGTCCTCCCTGCCATCAGAAGCCAGATGCAGGCAGTGTACATGGGGAGGGAATGAACAACTGTCCCAAGAGGTCACCTGGCTGCCTGGCAGGAGGGACAGCAGGCAGCGAACCCTGCTCATGGGGTCTTTCCCTAGATCCGGGCCCCATATAGGAGTTATAGGTACTGGGACTATACAGCCATAGGCGTGCATGCAAACACACACACACACACACACACACACACACACAAACACACCCACTCCCACAGACGGTCAGGGCTACCTGCCATGTGGACATTGTACAGCTGTGCTCCTGCCCTCTCTGCTGAGGCCCAAACCCAGGCAGAATATTTAGACATCATGGAAAGAAGAATGGTGCTGTGTCCTCCAAGGAGGGACAGTAGCTTCCCCTCACAGCCACCAGTGGCCCTGTAAGATCCTCTGACTATGCATCTGTGTTCCTGGAGGGAGGAGTCAAGGATGGGACCCTAAAAATCCAGAAAGAAAACCCTGAGAGTACTGTGATGGAGATGGCTTGGGGTCAGAGATGGCTGCTCTGCAGAAAAGGCTGGAGAAAGGATCCTGCAGCAGAGCAGCATAAGGCCCTTGACCCTGAGCAAGGACTTGTGACAGCCCCCGCAGCTCACACTGCATGCCATGGCCATGCAGAGCGGAGCTTCAACCCGCCAAGTCTTCACAGACCCCACAAACCATGAGAGAAACCAGGAGAAAAAAGAGAAATGTCTGACACAGACATAATTCTCTCACCTGTTGTGACTCTGTTCCTATCTTTTTTTTTTCTCTACTGAAGATTGAAGCAAGAACTATCCCACTCAGGAACATCAAGAGCCATTTCATTTTGTGCTTTGATACAGGGTCTCATTAAGTCACTCAGGCTAGCCTTCAACTTGCCCCTCTCCTGCCTCAGCATCCCCAGAAGCTGGATTACAGGTATGCGCTATCACATCCAGCTTCACAGTTCATTTGGATTCCATGGCTTTGCACCATCACTGAAGAATTCCACTATGGACAAAGAGCATAGCTGAGCTATCACTGCCCTGATTACTACCACATCCACATTGTGACACCAAAGGAGACAGGAACCCTGGTTCTGAGTTTTCTCCAATCCAGTGCCCAGGCCTTGGTTTCTCTGTGCAGCAAGGGGACCCACCTCGACACTGTCCTTCAAGAGGATCATCATGCTGTTCCCCAGAGAGGAATGAGGGTCTAGTGTGCCAATGTGGGAAAACTGGAACTGGCCCTCGACGTTCCACTGCCCTTGGAGAACATCAAATTTTGTCACCAAATCTCCGTTGGTATCGAACATGATATCGGTCCCATCATGGGTTTGGAAGTGCACCTTCCTGAGAGGGTGAAGAAGCTGGGGAAGGAGGCTGACATGTAGCCTGGCCAAACTGACCCAAGCTGGGGATGGCAAGCAGAGATCCAGGCCTGACCACCTGTTTCATCAGGCACATGGCCTGCAGGGTCCCAGGAATATGATCCATATTTTAACTTCTGGTAGAATCCAAAAGAAAGTGTAACAGTGAGCAATACTGAATAATAAATATGTACCTCTGTAAGTCAGTCTTTAAACTCTCACTATCACTTCTGTGGAGGCAGCAACTCTGGACCACTGTGTTCCATCCTCAGCCTCCAAGTCCCTCCACATCAGGATGCACCCCACATATGTAAAGTCCATACAAGTCCCTGCCCCCAACCTGCCAAGCCTTTTGACCTCCCTGGAGCAGCTGCGACTCTTTCTGCTCGCTCCCCCAATTAGAGCCAAGTAGAAATCTCCTTTCTGCTCATAGTGCAAGCCACCTGTTGTCCAGGTAGGAGCTCAGCTCTGTCCTCCCACAGTGTGAACTTCCTCTCCCTTATTCTACAGCATCATTCACATTGCAGCATGCAGATATCACCCTTCCCTGCATTTCTACCCAATCTGCCCTGCCCAGAAGTCAGGTGCCTTCACTTCCATCCACCCGCAGCCCACATGTGCTTAGTCCTCAAACATAGAAGCCCCACGATCGGAGCAGAGAACTCACTGTCGCCTTCCATCCTCAGTCTCCACTGGCCACAACAGCTAGCAGCACATATCTGGGAGATGCTTCTCAGCACCATGCTGAAGACGTTTACCTATGGCCCAACAGGTGGAGAGGGCACACTGTGGTGCCTGCTCTGTCCTCCCTCATGTGAGAAGGTGGTGGCTCAGGGACAGTGGTTGCCAAATGCACCAGAGAAAGGTTAACAATCCAAACCTCACACATGTTTCTACTGCTTTTCACAGTCCAGCAGCCTGCTCTCCACAGATGAACAAAAGGGGCCATGGAAGATCCTGGGCCAGAGCTTCCTCTTAGAACAGCCCCAAGGACTCCTGAGGCATCCCGTTTGGCAAACTGGGTGTAAGAACTCACAGGTAAAGCCCGAGCTACACACAGCAGGTGAGGGTTGAGGGAGAGGCCCCAGGTGTTAACCATGGTGGCGATGTTCTGCAGGATGTGATATATTCAGAGAGAGGGGGTTTGGTAAGGCAAGCCTTTGTCCATACCTCTGAGGTATTGCTGGCTTGCTGGGTGGTCTTCAGAGGGGAGCTGGCCAAGAGAATCACTGGACACAGGTAGGAAAATAAGAAACCCTGAGCAATTTAGAGACTCACCAACCCTATCATAAAATTAAAACTGCTCTGTGGATATGTTACTCATTAGTAACATATCCCTCCTTTTGACCCACAGCACCAGAAATATACCCTTTTCTAACAAAACATATATTGTCCCATATTTCAAATACACTTATTCTAAAACTTAGTTTTACCCAATAAAACACAGCAATCTTCATTCATTGAATTTCAGTTTGAAAAATGACTCTCCGATAGGTGAGTCATATGCCTATGATGCCAGCAGGGAAACAGGCTGAAAGCAGAGGGTTGGGAATTCTTAGTAGCCTGGATAACACAGGGAAAACCTGTGTGAAATAAACAATAAGTATGGTTGGAAATAAAATTTAGGGTTAGAGCATTCCAGGGTTCAATCCTAGGTACCACAAAAAGAAAAATAAGACTCTTTAGTACAACACATGCAATGTTTGGAACTGTAGGGGAACATGGAAAAGCTTCAAGTTTTTGAATATTTGTGGCATTTATAATGAATTCTATTAGCTGCTATGTGTTTTTCAAGTTTGCATCAGGCATATACCAACATTGTTCACTGGTTACCCAAACTCAAATTTGAAAATACAACAAAAATGTCTATTCATTGCAGATCTGAATTATGAATTTCACCAGGCATCTCATATTTGCTAAACTGCCTTCCACACACTGTGGACCAATCTAGGGTCACACAACTAGCAAGGCCTCAGGACTCATGGTCCAGGTGCCACTGAGCTGCCTCAGCTCTAGGCACAGGCACCCTTGCAGATAACACAAACACTGAGCACCTCATCAGCTACATAGAAAACATTAGTCTCCTCTTCCCAGCCATCCAACTCACCTGCCAGGGATGGAGATGCTGTGGATCTGTGCAGACCCCACTCCCATGCTCACATGACACCAGGTCCTGCAGGGCGTGGGCGACACTGTATACAGCCGTGTATGCGATATCCACTTCACTCACGTCCTGGAAAGGGAACTCATGGCCTCTCAGACTCTCAGCACCTGTGCACAGCCGCACATCTTCTGTCTCTGTGCTGTTCTCGTGTGGCCACTTGCACCCAAAGGTGGCCTCCCAGAACCTCACCAGGAACACATCCTCTGGGATCTGACTTGGGTGGAGGCTGGAAAAGAACTCGGGGAACCCCTGTACCTGGCTGTTGTGGCACAGAAGACCAAATGCACCTTGCAGAATCTGGGAGATGCCTGGTGTGGCCAGGGCAAGTGCTGTGTGCAGGAGGCCCTCACTGACCCAGACCTGGCCCAGGGGATGGAAACCCAGAAGACTTTGCAGGATGAGCCTGAAATTGGAGTTGTTCAGGAAGACCAGGACCCCCGTGGCAGTGCTGGTCTGCATCTTCTGCACCACACAGGTGATCTTCTCGAGGGAGTGCTGGGAGGGGACTGTGAGGTGGAATTCAATGCAGATGCCTGCCTTTTCCAATTCCCTTGCAGCTAGAGCACCAGCCTGCTGCCCAAATTCATCATCCTGGGCTAGGATGATGACCCAGGACCACCCCAAGCTCAGCACCAGCTGGATCACAGCCAGAGAAGACACAAAGTCACTTGCTTGGGTGCGCAGGAAGGAGGGGAACTGGGTTTTGTCACTGAGGCTGGGCAGTGTCGATGAGTGACTGACCTGTGGGGGAGAACAGGGCACAGGAGAGAGGACCAGAGCTCAGATACAGATTTTTCACAGGTTGAAACTCAGGATGCAGATACAGTGAGGACAAGCAGCACAGGACAGCTCACCCAGGGAGGCTGCATATCCTCCCAGAGCTGTGCCTCTAAGTACTGTGTCCCATGATCATGTTTGCTCCTGGACAGCCAAGCAGCTATGCACCCAGGCCAGGTCAGAGCTGAGACACTATTGCTCCTTTGGAAACCTGAAGGCAAGACACAGATGAGCAGTGTGAGTCACAACCCAAATCCAACTATGCTGCCTGAAGAGACACACCTCATCCTGAAGGATACACAGAGACTAGGGCAAGTGTGGAAATCCATACTCCCTGCAGCAGACCCGCATAACAAGCATGAGTAGTTACTCCAGTATTCAGAACAAAACTGATCACAATGAACACAAAAGGTCATTAAATATTCTCAACGGAACAGCTACAGCAAAAGATAAAAATTATACATATATATGCATCAGGTAACTATTCATCCAACTTAATGAACAAAAACAGAATACACACTCTTCTCAATAACCAACAGAGCACTCTCCAAAATAGACCATATCAGGTGCCTGAGATACAGCTCAGGGGCCTAAACACCTACATGGCAAGCCCTCAGATCAATTTTAGGTAAAAAACAAAAACAAAATAAAAATAAAAACAAATATAGACCACATCTTAAGAGCATACACCATATCTAATAAGCACAGAAAGAAGTGAAATATTCTCTTGCCTCTTATTATGCATAATAGAATGTAACTATATATCAAGAACAAAAGAAAATAAAAAACTCTAAAACAGCAAGACTCAATACTAGACACTTGAAAAATTGTTGTGACACAGGAGAAATCTGGGAAAAAATTTTAAAACACATGAAACCAGAAAACAATATACATACAATGTATCAGAATTTCTGGGACACAACAAAATCCTTTTAAGAGGAGATTTAAGCTGAGGTACCTATTTCAGAAGTGATCCAAAATAAATCAGATATTGCTATATCTCAGGAATCTACGAAAAGAAGAACAATTTAAAGCCAAAAATTGTAGAAGGGAAAGCATTATAAACATCAGAGTAGAAGTCAATCGAATTGGTCCTAAAAAATACAAGTGATATCAAGGCATGGTTGTGAATGCATTTAATCCCAGCACTTGCAAGGCTGAGGCAGGAGGTTGCGATGAGTTTGAAGTGGGCTGAAGCAACATAGTGAGTTCAAAGCCAGCCTGGACTACATAGCAAGACTTTGTCTCAAAACAACAACAACACAAGTGATCAATGAATCAAAAATCTGGTTCTTTGAAAGAATAAATAAGCCTTTCAACAAACTTAACAAAAGAAGCAAAGACCTATTCAATGCAATTTAGCAAAAAACAGACACAACACACACCACTGAAATCTAGATTATATAAAAGTCTTTTAAAAATTATATTCTAATACATTTGAGAATCTGAAAGAAAGGAACACATTTTTAGACACAAGTTATTTAACAAATTGAACCAATGTGATAGAAAAATTCTGAACACACCAACAAGGGCAACAAAGTTATATAATGCCAAAAATTCTACAACTAAGAGCCCAGGACCAAACGGATTTACCACTGACTTTACTATAACTTTAGAGATATAATCCTAATACTCTTCAAAAATCTCACATGAAATTGAAGGGAATGAATACTGCCATACTCATTCCAAGTCCAAGAGAAGTAAGGTTCAGAAATACTTAGGTAAATAGCAGGTTGCCCCCCAACACTTTAAAACCAAGGGTCCTGGTCAGACGCAAAAATACACATTGTACCCTGGAGAAGCAAAAGGGGAGGGAATGTCTTGAAAAAGATGGCAGAAGATATTGTTAATAGTGTATCAGTATTTAAAACCCACATTATTCACACCACTCTGTTTAGATTTTATTCTATTTTTTCTGATAGGTTTTATTCTGTCTCAGTTTGTCTACTTGCATTAGATTTGAGGGCACAGACAGCTATCCCAAAAACATCAGGATGTAGCACCATAATCTTTAATTTCCTATTATCTTAATCTGGAGCCCTGTATGACTTATACTATTTTATCATGACCGATCTTAGTTAAATCTGGTTTGTTTGATTGCTGTTTGGTATCAAAAGATTTTATTCAAAACTGATATGTCTGATAGTATCAAATCTGAGAGTATAGACAACTACACTGAAGATGACAAGACCCTAGGATACACATTCTAGTTTAATAACTGCCTGTTTTTGAAGTTCTATACTATATACAAAGTTGTATTTTTATTAATACTGTTACATACTGATATATTCAATTATACTATGTCTGATGATATAGCCAATTCTATTGAAGATAACAAGAGACAAAACATGAATCATGGTAGAACTCTTTGTATAATGGTCTTATATGTTTTTTCCATTTCACGTGTTTATAGGAATATGTTTTGTTTTGTCTTGCTTTGTTTTGTTTCTCCCTCTAATATAGAAAGGATAAAAATACGTAGACTCATGCATGTGTAGAATCTATAAACAGTTTATGAGAATTGATCTTATGACACATGATGAAATGAACAGATACTTTGAAGAAAGAGAGACACTAAAATACTCTGTACTATCCTGGATTGTCACAATGCGAAACCCAGCAATAGTATTATTCTTTGTTCAAAGTGATATTAGCCTGCTTGGGTTTGTTCAATCTCAACATAATTGAATATATGGATGACTGCATGTATGTTTAAGGTATAGCATTGAAAACCATGTTTCTAAATTTTTAGGGACTGGGGATTTAGCTCAGCGCATAAGCACCTGCCTTGCAAGCAGGCAGTCATGAGTTCGATCCCTGGTACCGATAAAAATGAAAAAGATTAAAAAAAATGTTTTTATTGGATAGTTGAACAGAACTCATTGCAATCTCACTGTTTGAATCCCCACTTTATATGCTCCATTTTAGTATCTTGAATAACTATTTGTAAGAAGACAATCTGTAATCATCAACTAGTGATTTCTTACTGTTTATTTTTTCTTTCAAATTATGTATGGTTTCTACCCATTTTCTGTTTTGTTTAGTCTTTCTTTAAATTAAATTTTTAAAAAAAGCCACTACAATACCCAGGGCTGATCATGCAGTGTCATGATGTGAAATTCAGCAATACTATTATTCTTGTTCAGAATGATTTTAATTTGCTATAGTTTGTTTAATTTAAACATATATGAACATATGGATAAATGCATGTATGTTTAAGTGTATAGGACTGTAAACCATGTTACTAAGATTTGTTGGACAGTTGAACAGAACTGTTTGCAGTCTCACTGTATGAATTCCCACTTTAAAGGTTCCACTTTTGTATCTTGAAAAACTATGTGTACAACAACAATATGTAAACATCAACTAGTGATTTCTTACTTTATTTCTATGAACGTATGTATTATTTCTACCCATTGTCTGTTGGGATTAGTTTTTCTTTAAATAAAAATGAAACAAAGAAATAATCTACCAGTGAAAGAAGAGATGATAAAAGTAATGAAAGAAATGCTGAATGCATCTGAGGAAGACACAGTAAAAAAGTAAGAGGAACAATGCCAGAAGTTGGAATCCCTGCATGAACAATGTAAGAAACAAATACTACATGAAAAACATTCAAAAGAGATGTACAGGAAATCAAAAATTCTATTGAAAGTTCTCAGAACCACATCAACAAAAGTGAAGATATAATTTATGACCCTGATGACAAGGTTGCAGGTAGTGAACAGGAAAGAAAAAATCTTTTAACACTAACAAGGAATCAGGAAATAACAATTCAACAGCTGCAAGATGACTCAAAGAAAAAACATAAGATGGATAAGGATAAATGAAAAAGAAGGGAACAACACAAATGATATCAAGAGACTATTTACAGAACTAATACCTGAAAATTTCCCAAATATGATAATGGAAACTGACATCAGGACCGGTGAAGCATTGAAAACCGCAAATAGCCAAAACCAAAATAAAAGTACACTCAAACATATAATAATCACCATGCCTGAAATTCAACATAAGAACACAATATTAAAAGCTTTTAGAGAGAAAAGACAGAAAAACCTATCTGAATCACAGCAGACTTCTCAACATACACAACGAAGTCAAGAAGAGCATGGAGTGAAGTATGTCAGATCCTAAAGGAAAATGACTTCCAACCCAGTCTGATGTACCCTGCAAAAGTGTCCTTCAAAACAAATGGAGAAATAAGATAATTCCATCACAAAGAACAGCTGAAGAAATTTATGATCATAAAAGTAACCCTGCAAACAATGCTGAAAGGTAGTCTAAATCTACATAAAAAACCAACTAAACAAGGCAAACAATTAAAGAGAATGAAAAGACAGAGAAACAATAGCAAAAAGATAACATGTCAACAATAAATCAATATATTACAGTTATAACCATTAATGGACATGGTCTAAATGCACCAATTAAAAGAAAAAGACTGGCAGAATGGATCAAGATACAACATCCAACCATATGCTGTCTACAGGAATCCCATTTAACCCAAGAGAAAACTCACAGATTGAAAGTCAAACGATGGAAAACAATACTTCACGCCACAGGAATCCAAAAAAAAAAGTAGGAGTAGCCATTCTGTTTGCAGACAATGTGAACTTTAAACCAACAATGATCAGAAAGGACAAATAAGGTCACTACATACTCATTAGGGGAAAACACCAAGAGGAAGAGATAACTATGTTAAATATATATGTACCAAATTCCAGAGCATACAGTTATATAAACAACTAGTAACAGAAATGCAAAATCAAATTATCAGTAACACAATTGTAACAGGATATCTTTAAAACACAATTGACATCAAGGAACAGATCAACCACACAGAAAATGAGCAAAGAACTAACAGAACTGAATCACACCTATGAACAAATGGGCTTCATAGACATATACAGAGTGTTCCATCAAACAACATCAAAATACACATTCTTCTCAGGAGTACATGG